AGTAACACCTGATTGGGTTGTGCCCCATATGGGCTACCCCACTACAGCCTACACAACATGATAGTTTGACACACCCCCATAGGCAAAGTGGGGGAGAACAAGGATTCACAAGACCAGTCAAGAAAAGGAAAGCAAGCTCAGAGTGGATCACGAAGTCACCACACATTTTGAGCACAAGCAAATGGCCACAAGGCCAGTTCACATGCAGAGTTATATAATGGAGAACAAGCAGTACAGTGATCAAAACCTAGCAAGTGAAAGCATGCAGATATAAGTATATCGATCACAGTACAAGCAAAGTCAAGAAGTGAGCAAGTGAGACCAAGTAGGCACAAGGCCTAGAACAGTACAGAAACGCTGATGGTCACAAGGCTGAAGTGCCTTGGTGAAGATATTTGCAGTGTAGGCTCGAGAGGCCAAGACGAAGCTGACCACGCTCCTGCAACTCTCAAGCATGGAAGTAATGCAGAGCGATGTGCTTCGTTCTGTGCTCCAGTCTGTGCTCCTGACACAAGGCAATCATGGCCTTGTTCTCGACGTACAGAACTAGAGGAGAACGAGGCGACTCTCCCAAGTCGGTCAGCAGGTAGGTGAGCCACGGTAACTCTTGTGCAGCCATGGCCCCTGTGTAGATCTCAGCCTCACAACTGGAGCTGAGAACTGAAGACGAACGGGTAGACCGCCAAGAAATAGAGCCGGAGCCAAGGCTGAAAGTGTAACCCTGTGACGATCGCTGTGTAGCCAAGTCATCAACTCAAGAAGCGTCTGCATGTCCAGTGAGAACAACTGTTGCCCGTGTGTGACTGAGTTAAGGAAATGGTGCGTAGTGCTCTGTCCCGGGTGATCTGCAAGTCAAGACAGCTGGGCAGCTAACCCAGATCTGTGCAAGTGTGCCAGTCCCTCAGTGTCACCAGAGGCAAAGATCAAGTCGTCGACGTATACGAGGATTAAAAGAAAATATAAAAAAATGATAAAATACACCAAGTGAACAAGTCTAGCAAACCAAAGATAGTCGTAACTGTGCTCGAGGCCATGGCAGAAGCCATCCGAAGTACTTATGCAGGGCCTCGTGCCCTTCTCGGATTGGACCAATTCGCCGCAAAAGCTGTTATCCACGTCCACCTCTTCTCATCCGGGACCCGTATCTTGCCAAGAAAACGTTGCTCCACGTCCTGCAACTGTAGAACCTTCCTTCCCCGCCCAAGCCGAAGGTGCATCAGGCCCTTCTCGCTTGATTGCCTTGTGTAAATGCTCGCGTGCATGTAAAAAGCTCTCTCAATCCTCCGAAGTACTTTGCCCGCTCTGAATTTGCTGCCCCGAAATACAGCATCGCACCGCTCCAGCCACTACTGGTGCAGCCCAATCGCCGTTAGAGTTGCTTCCGGGAAAGTCGATTTTGTGCCCGGACGTTTGAACAGCAGGTCCCCCAGACAAGAAATGTGACGTGTAGAATTCAGCATGCGCATGGCCCGTTTGATGGCTGAGACCACCACCTGGATACAAGGGCACTCATAGAGGCAGTGCTCTAGGGTTTCATCTTCCCCACAGTACGCGCAGGCTGGTTTGCAGGCCAAAAAAGGCCACCCGTTCCCCGACTTGCAGATTCAGGGCATGAATCCTTAGCAGCACGTTACGTGGTTGGTTGGGGATGACCAGCGAGTCTCGCACGTCCACCACTCGCTTCCAGCCAGTTTTATATTCCACTTTATTTGCCCTCCCACTTCAGACGTTTGCTTGAGGGCAGCCCTGCTCCCCAGAACTTCCTCATCTGCTTCAAGGGGATAATCCTCCCATGCGAGACGTAGGGTAGTTCCTGGTGTTGTGAGGCAGCCGAGCTCTCCCTGCCAACTGCCAGGAGTGACGTTCGCCAGGCTTCCGGAGCAAGCTCTTGAGCCTTCAACGCCATTTTTGCTGACGCCTTATCTCCGCCTAACTCCCTCGCCATAACCTCCAGCGACTTTAAAACAGGGACCCCGTCTGCATCAATTTGCATCAGTTGCCCCAACCCCCAACTCCAGAGGCGCTCCGTTGCTTTTTGCCCACCGATTGGATTCGTCCCTCCAAGTAAGATTCTACGGTTGAAAACGATCGGCTCCCGCGCGATGTTTGCAGCGTCGATCGCCAGGGGGCGCTCACCGAGCGGGGACTCCAGGATACACCCGCAGATCGCCTTCCACCTCTCGCTTTGACCTTTCTAGTGCTGTAGGAGCTTCTTGTGCGCTAGAAAGGAGTCTAATCCCAAAGGAAGCTCTACTGCCTTCTTTGGAATGTCTTGCTTGAGCAGGTTTTTCTCCGTCGCCATCAGCCCTGCTCGTCTCGCCACCAAGCACGCCAGGAGGATTCCGGGGTCCCGCACTCCAAGCCTTTCCCAAGATTCTGGGCAGATACACCAACTCCCGACTCCAGAGTATGAAGGCCTTCGGTGAAGACGCTTGGTTGGCCGACACGAAGTTGTGTAGAAACCTGGAAATTTCCAGCCATATCTCAGGGGGGGGGGGGAGGGAACACTTGCGCCTGGACCGAGATCAGAGGTGAGATGTAACTGTTGACCACCCCCGACCTCGCTGATTCCGTCAAGTACTTCCGCTCCCATCTCGTTAACTTATCAATGATGCACGCCAGTGCCTTCTCCCACGTGGGAAGGCAACTACCTCCCGGAGTGATCGAGATCCCCAGCAGACACTGTGCTTCATCCACCCCAGCCCACTTGAAGCCTTCTAACGAGATCGGGTTGTGAGTGCGGTTCACCCTTAAAGGCATCACCAAGTCTTTGAGGATCCTGACCGCTTTCTTGATTTGCTGCTTCCCTTGCAAGATCAGCGTCGTGTCATCGGCGTACCCCAGGTACGCCAACCTCTGCCCAGCCAAACTCAGACCCAACTTCCGCCATTCCACCATCTATGCGAGGGGTTCCACCACGCAGAGGAAGAGGTAGGGGGCCAGAGGGCAGCCCTGGAAAACACCCGACTGCACCTGCAAACCCTCGCTAAGTCAGCCATTAATCAGTAACTTGGTTGTTGTGCCACTATGTAGGCCCTCCACCCAGGAAACAAAGCGCTCCGGGAAACCCATGCTACGAAGCACCTTGAAGATGAAGTCATGGGACACAGAATCGAAGGCTTTCTGGAAATCAACTAGGAGCAGGTACCAGTCCTCGCTTCCATGCTTCGCGGCGTCGATAACATCCGCGACCAAGGCGAGTGTGTCCGGCAGTCTGCGACCAGGAATTAAACTGTACTGCTCCGGTGATATGACTTGATGCAAGACCTTCTAAATGCGATCCGCTACCACCCTCGCCAGCACTTTGTAAGAGAACTTCAGCAAGGTGATCGGGCGGTAGTTGTTCAGCGACTCTCTCTCCCCCTTCTTGTGTAGAAGGATGGTAACCGCCTCTTTTGTTTCCGCAGGTAGCGTGGCAGTGTTGGCAAAATCCCGTGCCAGCTCCATGAAGCTACCCCCCAGCACGTCCCATTGTGTTTGAAAGAGTTCATTTGGCAAGCCGTCATTGCCTGGGGACTTGCGCGCCGCCATCGCCTTAAAAGCAACCTTCACTTCCCCCTCCGTCCAATCCGTAACAAGGCTCTCCGCCGCGGCTGAGGAGAGCTTACTACATGGAGCCGGTGTCCATTTCTTGGAGCTATTACGACGATCTTCATCGAAAATGCTTGAGACGTAGGCCAACGCCGCACCTAGGATCCCTTTAGTGCCCAAAATCACCTTCGTGTCTACGTGAAGTTATGAGATCAGAGTCTTGGCCTTCCGAGCCTGGATTTTTGCTGTCAGATGCTTCGAGGCTATCTCCCCCACCAGTTCCTCCTTTGTCCCTGCCAGTAGGTGCTGGTGCTCCCTTCTCAAGGCCACGTACTCCTTCAACTACTTCGACTTGGCCTCCAGCAGATCACCATGAGCAAAGCCATGTGGGTCAGCCATAGCCTCCTGCTTCAACCGCGCCACGATATCCGCCAGATGCAATGTGGTCGCCCGAACCCGCTTCCTCTCCTCGCGGGCATAGGACCTGAGCCCGGCATTGAGACATGAGGTAAGGAGTACCGTCCTGAACACGCGTCCTATTAACCGTAGCATCTATTATCTTTCTAACACCCAGCTTGTTTATCATGGCAGGCGGGAGCCTCCAGAGACCTGGGCCAGATCTAGCCTTAAGGTGGAGTATTAACCCAATCTTTATAGCGAAGTCATGGTCCGAGATAGTCTCTTCTGGCATGTCATGCGCGGTGGTGTCCAGATGCGGTAAGAGAGAGTGGGAGAGGAGGATGTGGTCGATTCGGGAACTGGTAGCTTTCGCTCTTGAGTGGAAGGTAAACTCCCGTTTCCTAGGGTGGAGCTTGCGGAATGCGTCAGAGATCTGAAAAGCGCTATAGCGGCGGAAGAGATGGTCATTCTAATAAGAGGAGCCAAACTTGGACGATTTGTCTAGGAGCGGGTTTTCAACTAAGTTGAGGTCCCCTGCTATAACAAGGTGAGACGAAAGAGAGATCTGGTCAATGACCGGGCCCAGGGTATGCGCAACAAAAGCGTTTCTAGAAGTTGAGTCGGCAGGAAAGTAAACTGCTAATAAGACTAACTCGAAATCTTGGCTATATGCGCATGCCTGCAGGATCCTACTGGAGGGATGCTCTACTACGTCGCGGAGGCTAAAGTGCGGATTTCTACAAAGGATAGCTACCCCCCCTGCCTTCGTCTGCGCCAAGGCCGCCGTAGTGCTAAAGGAGGTGAGAGAGGTCCAGTAAGGGTGGCTGGAGGCTAACCTAATGTTTGTCAAAACTAAGAAGTCTGCTGTCTTTCTAGCCCAGTCATGAACTCTAGCTTGCTTCAGCTGGTCACCTAAACTGACGTTCACTGTCGCAAAGGTGAGGGCGTCTTTATTAGTCGTTTAACAACAGATCGACGACCCTTACGCATCCACAGGGTGATTGAGGCCACTACACTGACTAGCGTGAAGACTACTGTGACTGCCGCTGAGACCACTCCGAGCATGTGAGCTAAATCTCGTAGTCCTTCTTGATCGCGCTGAGACTTGCTTTCTCGAGGGTGGGCTTGGTGGGAGTGCCGAGCGTCTCGAGATGCTGCAGATGGTTCGCCAGCTTGATGTGAGCGGCAACATCCATGAGGGACGTTCCGTGCGCCTTCCTGTAGCCCGTTTGAGTGCACAACCATTCCCCCCGCAGGTTGCCGGTGGAGATGAGAGCAACTGCAGGATCCAGCACGATCGGCAGTATAAGCGGGTTCACACGCAGGGAGGCAGCTGCAAAGGACCACTTGTGGGTTAGCAGTGAGCACCAGCAATCGGAGAGGTAAAACAAATAGAACAGAGGAGTTATCATTCATTCTGTGCGCTCTACCCAGAGACAGGTTCCATTTCCCGATGTTGTGTTGCCGCTCAGTGACATATGCGTCGTGATGCTTGTTATCGTGCTGCCCCCTGCAGAGTTTACACGACAGCGACGGGTAATGGATCAGGATAAGCTTCTCCGGGTCCGATGGGTTGTTGATTGCGTGACGCTAGTGCAGCTTGCCATTCGGATGGGGAACCACAAGGCCCTTAATGACGTCGGTGTCAGCACCTGTGACCGGATGAAGTACCCTGTGGAAACAGAGGCCTTCATTGTAGATCGACTTCTGGCTGATCTTGAGCTTGTAGTGAGCCAGCAGCCATTGTAGCGTTTCAGGAGAGACAGAAGCCAGACATTCCTGAAAACAACTTCCGTAGCTAGCGGGTTGGAGGCGCGTTCACGGACAAAGGACGGGTCGTCTGCGCCAAGCCAGTACAGCCTGACGAGCTTTCCGTTCACGTGATGATAATCCACATCTTGCTGCCTTACATTGAGAGTGTCCCCCTCCAACAGGATTGAGATCTGTAGCCTGCACAAGCGTGTCTTAGCAACGTATGCCGGGTGCAGGATCTGGAATTTCGAGGTGTTAGCGACATCAGCAGACAAGATTGAAGACCACACCCGCCTCATCAGCAGCCGGACAGTAGAAACAACCGAGGCAAGTTCATGGTGAAGGATGAAGGGGACAAGCAGAATCGCCGTGTACCGCGGCCTACAAAGCTCATCAGCCTTGAAGTCAACATCCAGTTCATCGTCGGAGTCGTCCACCAACTCTTCAACAGCATCGTCCAGATCCACAATAGTGTCACACTTCTCTTCTACTGAGAGTCCAGACGAGCCAGCAGCGTTGTCCACAACTTGAGCTGCCGTGATCACTGACTCTTCATTCTTCCCTCCCGTGGTTGACAATGCAGGATCCGTAAGAGTATTGGTGTCAGCAACTAGCGGGTCCACCACAGCCTTGCGAGAGCCTTTAGGCGGCATCGTGGCGAACATAAAAAGAGAAGACGTAGGGTGAGGAGAAGACGCCTTAGAGAACAATGAAGTAAAAGCCAACTCAAGAGTAAGCTTTAATAGTAGGAGTGCGCTGCGGTCAGACCAAATGCTGAGTTTCCGAGGTTGAAAGCCCAAGGGTAGCAGTTCCCCGAGACTTAATAAAAAAAACACGATAGGGTGTAGTGTTGTAGTCGTAAGAAGTAAACTGAAAAGAACCGGACCGCTTTGCGAAATGACGTGAAGCTCGAGGTATCTTGGGAAGCATGACAGAGTTAGCGGAACACTCAGATAACAAGAATGGTATGATGCCCGTACAATAAGAACAATAGTTATACCAATCTGTGTCAGTAGAGCTACACTGTGAGATCCCCGATCGATCCTAGGGGGGGTTACAGGCGCGTTTGCCTGGGGGTTATGGACGCACTGACCCGCTACTGAAACAAGCCCTTTTATCCCAATGGTCTAGTGGTTGGGATTTTGACATGGTATCAGAGCGGTCTCGGGTTCGAATCCCGGTGTATGCACATGTTGGCCGTTGCCACTGTGCTCAGTCCTCGGCCTCCCAATGTGGGGGGGTGTCAGTAGAGCTACATTGTGAGATCCCTGATCGATCCTAGGGGGGGTAACAGACGTGTTTTCCTGGGGGGTTATGGGCGCACTGACCCGCTACTGAAACAAGCCCTTTTATCCCAATGGTCTATTGGTTGGGATTCTGACAATCTGCGCGTCGCGTTGAGCTGATTCCGAAATTGTCAAAATTATAGCGATTTGCATGTAGACCTCTTAGAGCGAATGAGCTAACGATCGCGGCAGAATCCATGGCGGCCAGATCCAGATCCAGATCCAGATCCATCGCCGCTTCTAAATCCCATTGCAATAGCGGCGTAATCTGTGTCAACATGCAAACACAGATTGCGTACACGAGGATGTAGAATGGCGGCAGTTTAGTGTCTGTGGGCAGAGACAGCGCCGGGTCAATACTCGAAGGATCAAACCCAAGAGCTGCAAGCGTCGTCCTCAGTCTATCGTGCCACTCGCGAGGCGCCTGGCGCAAACTATAGACTGGCTGCTAGAGGCTCCACTGGGTACCTGCAGGAAACGACCCAGTGAAGCCAGGTGGGCAGCGCAGCCAGATCTCCTCGTGCATGCTGCCCTATAAGAAATCAATGCTGAAGTAAAGAAAGTGAACCTCGTAGTCATGCTCAACGGTGACAAGCAGCAACATCCGAAGAGTGGTCATCTTTGGTGTAGGGGAGAAGGACTTGAAGAAGTCAACTCCTTGTCGCTGACTGAAGCCTCGTGCAACGTAACGCGCCTTGAAGACAGGCAGAGAAACTGGCGGCCGCTTCACCCTGAAAATCCACATGCCATCAACCACGTTTGCCCTAGGAGGGGGAACTGCGTCGACGTAGGTGCTTGTGGACTTCCAAGATGCCATCTATGTGTCCATGGCTGTCTGTCACTGAGAGGAGTAGGAACCCGAAATTGCCTCTGGGTAAGAGCGCGAGGTCGGGATGTCTGGTGCATCTGGGTCTCCCTTAGGTGCAATCAGCATGGACACGAGATGAGGTATAGTAGCTACAAAGCATTCAAAGTCCTCCTGCCTATCCTCGAGGACGCCCGTGCCAAGAGCACACTCATCCTCAACGGACGAAGAATAGACAGACTGAGACTCAGCAACAAGACTAGCGGAGTTGTTGAGACGATAGGCAGCAACAAAGTCAACAAGCTCAACAACTAGGGCAGACGCAGCACTGGACTCAAACGAAGGGTCACTGATAACAGTGGCGAGAAGATGAGTGACTGTAGGACTGGTAGTACATACAAGGTCGCACGTAGGGTTAGGAACGTCATGAAGAGAGGACGCAGGAGGAGACGGCACAGGAACTCGCAGTGGAACAGAGGAAGGACGAAGTGCCATAGGGTGCATGTCGGGGAGAGGAGGAGGACGCTGCGGAGGAACAGGCAATGCAGGACGAGACACAGGCTCACAATGCTCAGTAAGACCTCCGCTCTGCTCAATGTGAGGAGAAGGAGCAAGCAGTGGGGAGGCTGGCTATAACTGCAGCTGCGGCTGGTCAGGTGGTGGACACAGTAAGGGAGGAGTAAGGTCATTAGAAGACGGGAGACCAAGAACCTGCTGAATTAGTGAAACGAAGAACGGTGGCAGCTGCACGGTGCCTCCCAAACCAGCACCGACAGCACCAGCACCCCCAGGGCCAGCACCTCCAGCTCCAAAGTCTCCAGCTCCAACGCCTGCAGCACTACCAGCTCCAGCAGCTTAAGCACCTCCAGTACGAGTACCTTCGGGACCAGCGGCTCAAACACCTCCAGCAACTCCAACTCCAGCGCCTCCAGCTCCAACTTTTGTAGCACCAGCAGCTCCAGCAGCTCTAGCACCTCCAGTACGAGCACCTCCGGGACCAGCGGCTCCAGCATCTCTAGCAACTCCAGCTCTAGTGCCTCCAGCTCCAATGCCTGCAGCACCTCCGGTTCCAGCAGCTCTAGGACCTCCAGTACGAATACCTCGGGGACCAGCAGCTCCAGCGCCTCCAGCTCCAGGGCCTCCAGCGGGGAAGCCAAAGAAGACGGAGGGAATGACGTGGGAGGAGAGCTTGTCCGCGGACGTATCACGGACAAAGATACGGCAGCCCCAGACCCGGAACACCGACGCATATCCAACCTTCCCCGTCCAATGCAGTGTAGGCAAGGTCTGCGGCAAGGAGATACGAGGCCAGAGGTTGAGCTGATGCGCAGCATACCGGACCGCAAATGGCCACAGAAAATGGGGGGCAGCCGCATGGATCATGGAGGTACGAGCGACCTCCATGACTAAGCCAATGCGGCGCTCAGCAACCCCATTCTACTGCAGAGAGGCCGAAAGCTGACAGGGTGATGCCCTTCCCACGACAAAGGTCCCGCAAGAGGTCGGAGGCAAACTCACCACCTCTGTCAGAGTGCAGACGCAGGACTAGAAGGTCCATGTGGAACCGCTCGTGGAGCTGGAGACGGACAGCGCAGATCCAAGGGGTCAAAACATCAGGGACCTCCCTCTTGCTATGCAAGGGGAAGACCGTGGTGTAACGTGAGTAGGCGTCAACAACTAGCAGGAAGTAGCGCTCATGGCCCTGTCCACGGACGCGGGCTGGGCCCCACACGTCTATGTGGAGAGTGTGCAAAGGAGCAGTTGTCGGGGGAAACGAGGAGTGAGGAATGGCGCGCGGCCGTCCCTCGACACAAGGAAGGCAGGGAAGGGCAGGCAAGGGTGGCAGAGGAGGCAGAGACTTGGGAAGACCTGAAACAAGGTGACAGGAGTGCATGCCATGGAGGCGTGGCACTGAGGAGTGACGAAGGCGGTGGTGCCATAGGAGTGTCTAGTGCGACAGGGCGCGGCATGAACAGGGGGCCGCTAGCTGACATGATGCATATGCAGACGCAGCTACCTGAGGAGTCTTAGTGGTCAGTGTGTACAGACTCAAACGTGACCGACGGGTGAACGTGGCCAGGTGACGGCCAGTCTGAGAGCACGTACAGATTGCCAAACGCTGTCTTCCAAGGGTAAAGGTATCAACCCAATCCCGAAGGACGGCGTTGCTTACCAAGTTTGTAGAGAATGAGGGGAGATGAAGAACTGATAGTAAGCGAGACGGAACTGCCATTCACGGGAGGATACTGGAGGAACATGCAAGAACCAGGCCCCCAGAGGGGTCAGCCAAAGAGACTGCAACCAGTGCTGCGAGTGGTGTGACTGTGGTGCCGTTGCGGAAGAAGTAGCGGGAAGCACCTGAGTAAAGCGTGAAGGTGTGCAAGGCCGCAGCAGGCGCAGTACCAGAGAGCGCAAACTCACTAGCACCTAGAGCAGCAGCCTCTATACGTGGGTCGGGCGGCATACACAGGTAACAGTCACCCTCAGCACTAACAATCAATGCATACATGGCAACAAAGATAGCATCATAATCAAGAGCAATGTTATCCACACCCTGCCTAAGCAGCGCTGCTCAGTGGGGAAGCTCAGTCGCGCTGGGAAACTCTATGCGAAAGGCCTCATCAAGACGAGAGAAGCAGCGGTACTGGGTGTGAGGCTTTCGACATGTCTGACCAGTGCGGCCACATGTGGAGCAAGGGCCGGGGAGGAGTAACGAGCGACTACAGCGTTGTACCTGGCTTTAGCAGTCTTGTACTGGCCAATGTGAGCGCGTTCGGCTAACTGCAGGTGGTTGCGAACGGCTAGGCGAGCAGTTGCGTCACGGGTAAGCCATTATAAGTGAGTCGCACTATCAGCTGTGGTGGAAGGGGCGAGAGCGGCTCTAGACGTGAGGTCAAACAGTGAGACATCGTCCCTAGAATTGCTCAGTAAGTACAGGTGCAGGTAAGCTAGCCACGTGTCGAGTTGTGTCGGACGGCCCTCTGCATTGAACGAGAGTACACAGATTGTAGCCAACGCAGGCTAAGTAGTTGGGCGCGCTAGCAGTAGGGCAGCATGCAAGCAGGGCAAAGCAGGGCGGCAGCCAGCAGGGTGGTGCGCAGGCACATTAAGGTAGGGCGGCAGCCAGCAGGCCGGCATGCGGGAAGGGCAAGGCGGCATGGCTGCGAGCGGCGCACAAGCATGGCAGAGCGACGCGGCGGCTAGCGGCGCGCGGGCAGAACAGGGCGGCGCGGCGGCGAGCGGCGCGCAGGCAGAGCAGGGCGGCGCGGCGGCTAGCGGCACGCGGGCAAGGGAGGGCGGCGCGGCGGCGAGCGCCACGCGGGCAGGGCAGGGCGGCGCGGCGGCGAGCGGCGCACGGGCAGGGCAGGGCATTGCGGCAGCGATCGGCGTACAAGCAGGGTAGGGTGACGCGGCGGCGGGAGACGCGCAGGCAAGGCAGGGCGGTGCGGCGGCGACCAGCACGCGGGCAGGGCGGGGGCACGGCGGCGAGCGGCGCGTGGGCAGGGCAGGGCAGGGCGTACGCGGGCGGCGCGACGTAAGGCAGGGCGCGCGCGGGGGCGCG